CCACTGCATGATTCCCAGACCTGACCCATGTTTCTGGAGAAATCTTAATGATCTCATTAATCCTGGGTGCAAGGCAGTTCATCCAAAAGAGAGTGAGGAAGTGATGGGATGACAACCTGCGCTTACGCATTTACATCAGGAAAAGATACTGCATCCAACATCAACTACTCATTTTGCAACTCATTCTGATTAACAGAGAATGCAGCAGTCATACAGCTGGCAAGTAACATTATCCTAAGAGCTGGTAATTAAAAGTGGACAAAATTAAGACAATTGTAGCTGGTACTTCCCAATGGCTAATATCCTCCAGCTGAGGAAAATTATGAGAAAACAGTGAGTGGGAGGAAGAAATCAGAGAGGAAAACATGAATGGAAATCAGAAGTTCTTTCAGAATAGTCAGTCCATCAGCATCATCAAGGACAGACTGGCTCAACTACTCCACTGGTAAACTGAAAGTGTTTTAAATATTCAACAAATAGGGAAAATAGAGCAACTGTCTGAAGTGAAGGAAAACTTATGCTGGAAAATAAAAAGATTGTGAAAAACGAGCCCATGGCAATGCTGAGCAGGATTTTTTGAGGAGTGTTTGAATTGCATAGAGTAGAATTGTGAACAACAATACAAAAAGCCAGACTTGTTCAATAAATGTTTCCATTTGGTATTTTGAAAAGTAATATCTCAATGGTGTTTATACGAGAGCAAGGTTGAATAAGTACTTTCCAGCCCATTAGGAAATAAGCAGGATGTTAAACATCATCCAGTAGAGATAAACATTTTTAAATCAGCAGGCCTGGATAAATAACACCCAGGGGTCCTAAAATATTTGACTGAGGAGAACTCTGGCTTGCTAATGTTAATTTTTAATACATTTTAATATCAGAGGGATTCCAGGTGACTGGAAACAGGGTAGTAACCTGGGGGGAAAAAATAAGAAAGTGAGAGATAGAGATAAAGAGAGAAAAGGGGAGAGAGGGAGAACAGGAAACCAAGTGCAATTACAGGGGGGTTATTGAGCAGCTAACCTCACATCAATCCCACGTAAAAGAGTGGAAAAACTGAGACAGGACTGAACTGCTAAAACATGAAAGAACAAGATTTTAATTACTGCCAGTCAATGTGGGTTTATGGAAAATAGCTCAAATAAAACTGGTTTCATGTTCTGCCTGCAAAAAAAAAAAAAAAGCCAACTGTACAGATGTAGCAGGCTTTCTCCAGGCTTTAGACTTAGTGCATGACATACTTACTAGATAAACACTATATAACATGAAGGAAACTTATGTTAAATGGCTAAGACATGGCTATTTAGCATAACTCAAAACCCAGCTGCGTCAATCAGATCATCATCAAATGAGGATTCTTTGCTGGCTTTCCGCAGGGCTTTGAAGTATACTCGGTGCTATTCAGCGTTTTCACTGATGCTCTGCAAGGGAATATAAAGTCAGCACTGATAGACAGATGGCTGACACAAATATTAGCAGCCTGGTAAATAACGATGAGGAGAAAATACTAATGCTGAGAGTATTTTGGGTCACTTGTTAAAGGGAGCCCATTTGAACAAAATGCAGGCAAGTACAAAGCTGAGCTATAAGGCAGAGAGCAAAATAACCTGATAGGACCCTGGATAGCTGTGATTCTGGAGAATGGTTTGGCAATCACAGTGGGCAGGTAACACCCCATGAAAATTCTAATTCCAGAAAGTCTATAAAAAAGGACAGGTTATCCCTATGATCCATATACCCACAAACAAGCAGTTACATGTTTTTATCTTCTCACAGTGCAACATCTCACAGAAGTCTGGTCCAGTTTTTACCAACCTCTATAAACAACAGAAATGGCAAGAAAGAACTAGTATTAGACTGACCTGATGAATGAAGGAGACACCTGACTGTGAGAGATTTAAAGACCCATCTACTGAGTTTACTGTGAAGAAAAAGATGAGTGATGTCTTGATTACACTGTGTAGTTACTTGCAGAAAAGAACATACTGGATACTAAAGGGTTCTTACATCTGGCAGAGAAAAGCATAATGAGAACCGGTAACTGGAAGTTGAAATCAGAAATTCAAAACGGTCACAATTTTTCAAACAGTGACAGCGATTAACCACTGCAACAAACTTCTAAAGGAAATGATTGATTATCCATTTCCTGATGTATTCATATCAAAATTAGATGCTTTTCCAGAAAACATACTTTAGCCAAAATAAAAGCTATGCTTAATTCAGATGCAAAGTATTGGGTAACAGCAAAAAATATAAAAGTCTATGACATGTGGGAGAGAAAATATGATGACTGCATGGTCCTCTCTGAGTGCAGAATCTCTGGATGTCTGCAAGAAAGTTACCTCTAGTCTGGTAGAACAATGCAATCTAGTAGAGGAAAAGATTTTAAAACCAAACTTGAAAGTGAGCAAAAAATTAATAATAAAGTGACTATTAGCCACTGGACATGCTGATGGTACTACAACTCTAACAACTGTACATCTAGGTTGGATTTTTAAAAATAAATTTTTTGAAACTGAAAAAAGCAAAACAAAACAAAACAAAACAAAAGAAAAAACACAAAAAAAAACCCCAAAACAAATGTGAGACAGAGAAATAATTGCTTATAGCTTTAAGCATTGCAGACTAATTTTCTGAGGAAGTTGTAGAAACCTTGAAGTTTTTAAAGCTTCTTTACACAAATACTTTCAGTTCCTTGGAGAAAAGGGGGGTAAGGAGCAACCTCGTAGCTCTGTAGAGCTTCCTGAGGAAGGGAAGCAGAGAGAGAGGTGCTGATCCCTTCTCCCTGAGATCCAGTGATAGGACACATGGGAATGCTTCAAAACTAAGAGGAGGTTTAGATAGGACATTATGAAGCCATTCTGTACCAAGGGGAAGGTCAAACACTGGAACAGGCTTCTTAGAGAGGTGGTTGATGCCCTGAGCCTGTCAGTGTTTAAGGGGTATTTGGACAATGTCCTTAACAGGCTTTAGCTTTTGGTCACAGGATCACAGAGTATTCTGAGTTGGGAGGGACCCACAAGGATCAGCTCCAGACTGGTCAGGCAGCTGGACTAGATGGTCATTGTAGGTTTCTTTCAACTAGAATAGTCTATTCTGTTCTATCACACTGATTCTGATTAGGTAGGGATAGGACAAGATTACCTCCTGAGTCCCACCTACTGCTATCATTTCTGTGCTATGGTTCAAGTAAAAGTCATGGTCATGGTGCTAAAAGTAATGAGGATAGATGGGACCTCTGTTATGCAGAAGGTCTAACAGAATAAAAATTTGAGCATTACATTATGTGATGTTACAAAACTTCTTTAGCTCAGTTACTCTAGAAGGTCCATCAGCCTGCTTTTCGTTATCCCAGTGTCTGGGATCAGAAATTGAGGTTCTGGTTATCTAATACCTATCTCAGTACTTACCTGCCCTGAAGCCCTGTAGCAGTTCAAGTGCTTTTTGAGAAATGGTATTTTTCAGGTCATCTGAGGCCAAACTGGATTATGGTGAACTTGAAAATTCAAAGCACCACGCAAAGGTGGCAGGGGCTAACGTGTCCCCTCCCCAGCACGGACACATCTGAGTCAAGATGATTCACAACCAGGCTTGTACAAATAACTAATTTTTCAGTTTGCCAGGTGAACTTGAAGGGAGAAAAAACATTCGCACTGCCCTGAAGTGAAGTTCATGTCTGTTTGTTGATGGAAAGAACTGTGGGGGAAAAAAAATGTTATTTTCATCAGTCTGACTAAACTGTTTTGTTTGATTTGAAATTGTTTTGTCTTTGTGGTCTGTTGCATATAAACATAAATTTATGGAAAATTTTCTTCAAAAGTCCACCCATAATAGAATTTTTGAGTGGTGAACAAATGACTCACCTCCCAAAATTTTTGTGGCTTCTCTATGCATTTCAGCTTCAAGAAATACACTGATGGATTTAGATAGTATCAAAATGGATCAGAAAGTCACAGCCCTTCAAAAACTGGCCAGATACAAGTTGCAATGGGAAAGCCCAGAGAAACTCATTGAAAGGAATTACTCTCTGCACATTTTCCTAAAAACCAATATTCAGGCAGAGAAAGTTTTGTGCAGCCAGACCTTCTTCTTAAGAATAATGGACATGAGTAAAAAAAAAGGAAACTCCTACCTCTTTTTCCTGTCTCTGATACTGTCCATTTAGCAGAAATGATGTGGGTTTCTGTGTCTCCCCAGGCCCAATGTTGCAGCTACACAGCCATGAGCACCACAAAGTGTTACCCACCTTTCTCCAGCTCTGTACAGAAAGGGAGCTGAGTTGCTTCACTTCACATGGAAACTCCTCAGCCAAAATACATTACAAAAAAGGTACTATTTTTAAGTGAGACAAATCTGTATCATTAGTGCTACAAGATGTGCTTTTCAAACAAATATATTGAAGAAACAACACCCTCTTGAGCACTAAATTCAGCTCAGCTTGGGATATGGCTGTGCAGAAAGCGTGCTCCCAGCAGTTTGGACAACCAAAGTTCAACACCTTCCCAGGAAATACAAAGCCTCTGAAAATGCAGCACAATCACAACTGCCTGATACATACATACAATCATACATACATACATACATACATACATATACATACATACATATACAGATATACAGACATGCATTTTTCTGTGATTAAAAAACTCTAAGTTTATGGAATTTTTTTTTTTGGCTAAGAAACATGTTGATGTCCAGAGAACTCACATTGAGAGCAGAACACAGTTTTGAGTCCACAGACAGGAAAATCTTAGACTTATTTCAAAATATGGTAACCAAAAGGCCTGAAAATCTTTTTCTGGTTTTGTAAACAATAATCATTTTACAAAGCGAAATAAGTTAATGCAGATATGAAGAGAATGATAGCCTAGACTTAGGATGCCCACTTTTAGGCAACTGTGTTTTAGTTTGTGTTCAATTGTATTCACACTTGTGCTCAGTTCAAAAGGCTGAAGGGTTTAAGGGTGAGGTGATCCCATACAGGAACTATTCTGACTTACTAATAATTGATTTAATGCTTTACTGGTGGGTACCCATGGCAAAAGTTAAGATTGCATTGGTCTGTGCATCCAGTGGTGCTGCAGAGCTCAGGAGGAGTCTGGGCACTGCCCCCAGCCCTGTTCCTCTACAGAGTGCAGTGCCCAGGGGCTGTCTTTTGTTCAAGTGCAGGGTGGGAGCATTGCAGCCACTGCCAAGTTTGACTTTTCAGGAGACATTTTGCTGCTGTCTCCTAGAGTAAAGAATAAAGAATTTGGTTGAGGAGATACATAATCTTATCTATCTTCTTTAAATTATTTGCACTACACTATTTTTTGGTTGGCTGAGTATCACACCAGCTTAAAAAGAAATACAGAAATATTTTGCAAGGCAGTGTACTGCCATGATGAAAGGCATTAGATCACACACCCCTGAAAGACTTTAACTTTTGCTTTCCCCTCGACTGGCATTTAACAGACCCAGCTTCAGTTATGTTTTACAGAGCTCAACTGGATTTACAATGCCAAGAAGTAAAAAATAAAAATAACGATAACGCTTCCTTTTCGCGCCATGAAAACAGACCAGCTTTGCCATATATGCCAGGTGCAAATCCCCTGGAAGATGAAGGTGCCATTTTTCCAGCCTACCGCTTCCAGAGCCACATTTGAGGGCTGCACCAGGAGGGGGCAGGAGAAAGCCGTCCTGCCTTCCCACCGAGGGAAACCCTGGCAAAACCGATTGAAAACTTCCCCAAGCTCCAAGTTAGCTTCTGTGCTCCTGGCACCATCCCTCTGTTACACACATCAAATGATATGTGCAGAGCACTCCGAGTGTGGATTATTTGCAGGCAGAGATCCCGCAAATCCGGGTTTGTAATGCATCCCACGGTGTGATGGCCAGGCTCCCTGGCAGCCTCCAGCCTGGTCCAACTTCGCTTCCTCCCCAGTTAGGAGGAATTTTGACACGGAGATAAATGAGTTTTGGCTAATTTTCTCTTACAGCCCTTTGACGTAAAGACCATCTCAGCCTCAGCATTTGTGCAGTGCCTCTAAAGAGCCTCCCCGTGCTCTGAGCAGCGATCAACAACAACAACAGTGCAGCAGATGAGACTGAATGTGGTTTGTGGAAGGCAGGGCAGATCAGGGCTGATGAGGCTCTGCACAGAGCAGCCCTGCCACACCTCAGCCACTTGTCACCTCCAAAGTGGCTGAGCAGGTGGCAAGGGTGCAGGCTACAGGCTGGGTCTGGATGGCTGAGTCTCAGTTCTCAGAGAAGACTACTTCAGACACCCATCTATGGTGGGGGGACTGAGAACTGGATGGTGGGGGAGACTCTTACATGTTTCAAAACTTCCAGCTTTTGGAAGGGTCAGGGGAAAGAAGTAAAAAACCCCAGTCTTCTCTTGTGGTATTTGGAATTTCTGCTTTCAATCATAGCCAGAAACCAGAGATGTAAAGCCGTATGAGAATTAAATATGTAAGGGGGAAAAAAAAGATCAACCAACCTTTGCTGAACAACAAAGAAGACTTGGCTCATGTTGGTTTCCAACTATGGGTGAAGGTTCAAGTCACTTACTTCAAAAATACATTACTCATGAATGAGCTTTATTAAGAAACCTTGTGCTCCTATAACTCTTTCCATGTGAGGTTTTCAAGTACTTTATGGAATTAAGCAAAACAACCCTGGGAGGTAGATTAGTTCTAACATCCCCACATTACAGATGGGAAAACTGAACACTAAGTACATTTGTAGGAGAGCCAGAAATAATATTACCTAACTCTCATGTACTGCTTTTCAGCAGTAGATCTCACATCTTTACAATGGAGGAACCATTATCCTTACTTTATAAAAAGGCAAAGTGACTTGCTTGTCCTGGCCAATAGCTGAGCTGAGTGAGAGGAGCCTGTTCTTCTCAGTCTCAAGGCCTCATTTTACTAACTAAATGACCAAACCACGCTCTCTTTAATATTAAGCAATTATGCAAACACACACATTAAAAAAAAAAAAAAAACACAACAAAACAAAAAACCAAAGAAAATGCATCAGGGGTGATTTTTGGAAAGCCAAAATTATGTTTTCTAAAAAGGAGGATTTTCTTGATTGACTGTATCTCATATCCCACTGATGCATTGCATCTTTGCTTTGCTAGTGAACATGGGAAAATAAGCAAATTGAATCTTTTCACATTAATCATGTGGTATTACCTGACCACAGATGGCATCAGCAGAAAAATTTAACATCAAAGAAAACTGTTCTATGGTCCTTTTGATGTTCCAAACCTGAACACAGAGGAGATAGTTCAAGTTTTGACAGAAGTAATGACATGTAAACATGGAAGGGGTCATGATGCTGCTGTTAAAAAAAATAATAAAAATCCAGCAACCCTCTCCCTCCAGATTTTTACAGCCTTTTCCCTTCTTTCAGGACAAGCAAACTCTCGAGCTCTTTTGCTCCCAACTGTCTTGCACCCAAATGGCTTTTGGCAAAATCTCTTGTCCCAGACCAAGTCCCCAGTGAGCTGGGTGCTCAACAGACAAAATATGAAGGTGGTGCTGTCCTCAGAGAGCTTTGCATCTAGACCCAGTGAAGACGGTGCTCCACCCCAAGAAATTCCCTGGGCTTCTTCTGGGCAATCCTGTTATTTTGGGCCCAGAAAAAACAGTCTAAAATCAGACAGTGTAAAGGCTTTTGAACCAGCAAGTAAAACAATGAAAGTTCATACAAAGTTCTGGGAGGAAAAACTATGACCAAGAAACTTCTAAAGGCAATTTGAAGTTCCTGATTTCAAGGTCTCTCTGAGCTAGAACACTGATGGGTCAGAGGATGCTACCCTGGCCCAGCTGTAATTGGGATGCACAGTGGTGCTTGTCTGCAGGAAAATGAATCTACAACAACCACATTAATGTATTACAGTCATATAAATGGTAAAGATTAAAAACATTGCACATAGATTATAGATATCACCCTATAAAGAGATTTCATGAATCCTCAAAATGGACTGAACTTAAGCCAATCTTTAAAATGGTTTTGGTAGAGTCACCTGTGGACTGAGCTTCCTTCTCTAATTCAGTCAAACATCCTTCCCAAAGGCTAAGCCAAATTAAAGCCAATGTTACACTAAAAGGAAGGATACAGTCATTTACACATGACTTAAATTCAAATGGCATAAGAAGCAAATCCCTACTTTTTTTATGCTTTTTTTTTTTCATTTTTGTAAGATCAGCTTTTAGTACAGGCAGGCAACAGAGACAGAGTCAATTTCTTTTGCTCTTTGCTGTGCCCCAACTCTCATGTGTGTATCTGATGAGTCACTTCTTGCTTGTGACATGTCTTTGCCACCTGCAAAACAGTCACACTGGGGCCCAGTGACTGGGTGGGGATTTTGAGATTTTTTTTCCACTTGCAGAGTCCTTTGAGATCACTGGAAGGAAATTCTATAAACCTGTGCTGCTACTCCTCTGAATTACAGAGAAGAGATTCCATTTGAGTGATGTAGACATTATTACTGTTGCTGTTTGTCTGCAGAAAGTAACCTTTTACTGTGCTGAAAAGAGCCAGAGACTGCAGGAACTGTTGAGGATCACACAGTGGATGTCCTCTACTCTGTAGTGAAGTCTAATAAACCTAGAGGACTTAGTGTGTGCCTGAATCTGTGGGCAGACAGAAAGCAATTATTCCTTTTTCACTTGTGCTAATTTAAGGAGAAAGGTCATTTTGAACAGCTAAGAGAGTTTCTGTAATAACATTTTACTTATTTAACCAATCCTCAGTTTTAACAGATTTATGTCTTAATGTCAGCACTAACCATCCATCCAAGGACCAGAAAAATGCTTTTGTGTCAAAGTGCAATTACTCTCCCTCAAGTACAGATGTGGAAATGGAAAAAGAGAGGTATTTGAAGATTCTTCTCTGACATGGGAACAGCACTGAGATCTCCAATTTTCGTGTGCTCTTCCATGGTCCCTGCACTGTATTTATGCCCAGACTTATCTCCCTAAGCCAGTGCCAGTTCAGAATGACTCCAGGGCCAGTGCCATGCTATACCACAGCTAGGGACCCATGTTGAGATTTCTGCCACACTGAGGGTGGAAAAACTGTCTCAGGAACCCAGCCTGAAGCTCTGTGTTGCACAGCATACCTGCACCCCTTTCCCCTGAACAGTCCTGTTCTCTAGAGTGCAGGGAAATGTGTTCATGGATTAGCTGTCTCCAGTGTGCAAAGCTGTGCTCTCCTTTGGCTCTAAAACACCTGGCCTTGGTGTGGCCAGTAGGCAGAGACTAAACACAGGGTGGGAAACGCTGCCGCTCTCAGCAGCGTCCCAAGGTGTGAGTGATACCCTTGCTCAAACTCTCAGGGCCATTTTTATACAAGAGTTCAATGGAAAAGCCTGCAAAGAAAATGGGCCAGGAAAGTTTGTCTTCCTCTGTGCAGTAGGCTAGGGCTGCCTGCTGGGATCATCAAGGAGTTTTATCCAATATTTTATGCTCTTGCAAGGGTCTAGACTGTTGCTACAACTCTCTATCACTCTTGTTTTTTTCCTCTGATTTTCCTCTCTTTTTAGTTGAGGTTTTTGGGGTTTTGCTTTGCGATGACACAGTGGAGCCTGGGTAAGCATGGCCTGCAGCCCGTGGCTTTCTAGAGGCAGGATGACCCAGAAACTGGATGCCATGACCCAGATGGTCCTTTCCAGCCCTACCTTCTTAGGCTTACAGACACTGATAGCTGCAGGACATCTCAAAGTTAAAATACTTTTTCTACTGACCAAAATGCAACCATGAAAGAAATCTCTCTTGTTTAGTCATCTGGACTGCTGCCGGAGAAAAAATGAACAAGAGGTTTCCTTTAGGTCCACTGAGCAGAATCTTGCACTGTTCACATCCCTGAAGGTGATATGCTCTCATCTAAGTAGAGCATCTGCTCATTTATTGTCCCCAGGAGTCATCACCTGGAATGGGAAACATCAGGGTTTTGCTTGAGCATTCAGCATTAAGTTGTTGGCAAATCTTCAGTGTAACATTTTTTCTTATCTAATGATAATTTGATGTATGAGAAGCCTGCCGAGTGAAAGCATGACTATTATGTGAGCAAACAATACAGCAGTATGTCCGGTATTATCTGTGAAATGTATTTCAATACCTGTGTGATTAATAATGGATTTGGAAGCACAGTGAAGTATAAATAATCCAAAACAATATGCAAACTTCTGTGAAGGAAAGGGATTAATACGAGAACTAAACGAAGCCCTGGAAAATA